CCTAAACTAAACCAATCATAATTTATGTAGTGGTAATGCTCACGACCACTAAGGATAGCAAGCAAAATGCACTCTTCCATGCAACTAGTAACATAGTAGAAAGCAAACCAAAGGCTCTTCATCAAGAAAAATTATTGAAACATACTAGAACACATCAACATGTTATATTATGAGTGGACGATCCAATTTATACTTTAGAATATAGCATTAATAATCAATCCACACACTATAATATGAGAGAATCAATAGATCATGTTCCTGTATTTCAATGCACCGCAATATCCTTTCTTCTTCCTTTGAAAGACCATAACAAGTGATGCCCCAACAGAATACGTGTTTGTCTTCAGTCAGGGGCGAAGTTAGGAATTGTCGGGGAAATGAGCGAAATTTAAAAGGGTAAAAGGTCCAAAAAAATTGTAGACAACCAAATCCTAAATATCAAGCTAATCACTATAACGATGTGTTTACAAATCTGTATTCGAGTAATACTGCAATTAGTACATCTCAAACATAAACACAAGCACAAACACAAATAATGACAACCCCCAACCAAAAGAACAATAATGTGAAAAACATCAAAAGCAGAGAGACAACATAAGACTAAATTCATTACACTGAAAATGGTACATGGAGACTGAAAGAATAGAGGGAATGCATGTAAAATCCGAAAGTGAATTCTTATGAAATGCTAAAATGCAAACCCACCACCTCCATCAGAAGGTTCCCCCTCCCAAATCTTCCCCAACACATCCAGCAAAAGCCTCACCTCACCTCCACCTAAATCCACATAGTCTGTTCGCTCCTTAAATTTGCCACGGGCCTTGCGGGCATGCCGGGAATTTATTCAAACATAAAATTGGTGGATGCGAGTGTGCCACTACTAGATGCCGCTAGTAAACTAGATAAAAGATGGCTTTTGTGAGGGCTGATCCTGAAAATGATTGAGGTTGGGGCTGATTACAGCTTCGTATGCAAATCTGGCTTGAGCAGAGTTTGTGTATTTGTTTTTTTGATTGGTTGAGTGTCCCTAATCTTTGTACTCCTTCTTCTTTATATAGAGAACTGAGAGAGCTCTAGCTGAGAACCTTGAATCTGTCTGAATGCACTTCACTGCCAGCTAGCATGTGAAATAATATTAAAATAGGCAAGTTTGCATCTCCACCACATGTTTATTTCACACTTGCAATAAAATAATTAAAAGAAGCAAACAAAGCTTCTTTCATCACATATCATTGCCCGAAAGCTTGCATGGTGTCTTCCTATACACTTGCATGAAAAAACATGCATTTGTCTTGATTAAACAAATCTCTTGGATAAATCTCCACCACCCAAATAAAAGGGAAAAGTAATATTATAATATCAAAATCATCCTACTTGCGGCCAAATATCTTTCTAAGTTAGCTTTCTTGCACATTTATCCTTCAAATGCCATATTTTAGCCAAATAACCCAAATAAGTGAAATTGTACACACTTTAGGTGCAAACAGAGTCCCCACCTCCTCCAGCTGATGTCATGCGCCCTTCGTCCGATTCTCCACTAGCACCACAAGGAGAAGCACCAGAAAAATCTCCTTCATCCCCCACCGTCACACCTCCTCCATCTGGTTCCAAATCTGCTCCTCCACCAGCTAATAACTCACCCCCTGCACCCACGATGCAATCACCACCTCCTTCGGTCCCTTCACCCCCTGGTACTTCGCTCCTTCAACTTTCCCATTAATTGAGTAATTAATACAATAAGAAAGGTCTGGGTGTGGTTGTGTTCGAGTGGGAGGAGAAGAAGATTGACGCATCTTTTTTTTTTCTTTCTTTTCTTTCCTTTTTTTTAAGTTTTTAATTATACAAAAGATAACATTGTTTTAATTATTTAAATAGTTTTAATCCACGTGGTAATATTTAATTAGACTTATGGGACCCAATTATGTACCATGTCATCACATAACGAAATTTTTGACAGAAATGTAATGGAAGAACTAGATTGATTTGCGACATCTATTTTCAGGGATTATATTGATTGATTTTCAATTTCAGAAACCATCTTGATGAAATGAATCGATTTTAGAAATCATTTGTGATAAAAACCCTTTTGTTAATTGATGACGTGACAACGTCGTAGACTAAAGTCGTGCCACTTTATTAATTAACAAAGCATTTGACGAAACAAATCAACGAAAGTACAAAATTGCCAAAAAAAAATTAAACTTGTATGAAAAATGATCAAATTTTAAAAAATTTTAGAATAATAAAAGGAGAATTACTCATTTTATTTATTTATTTACCGTGAAGGCGAGCTTCGAATCATTTATTTAACCTATATATGAGAAAATTCACATTTAGATATCTTAGAATGGTAGGTGCGAGCAACAACTACACTCTTGGTGAATTAGTGCACACTTTTGGCGAATTTTTACACATAATTTAAACTTGTAAACTTTGTCGTGTTTATTCTAAGATAAAATTTTGTGGCTAATAAATAGACTAACTCGAGTTTATCATGTTTTCTAGGTTATCTCGATCAAATTCTTGCCTCTTGTCTACATTTTTTGGTGTTCTTTTTGTCTACCATAGACACTATTAAAAACTTTAAGCCTTTATTACCAAAAACTTATGAAATGTAAATATAATTTTTATATCTCAAATATACCTCTTTCATTGTTATTACGCTTATGTATATTTTCGTAATGCAATTCTTTCATTTTTGAACAAACAAGTAGAAGAATGAAGTCTCTGGTCTAGTCATAATAACCTAGTTTAAATTTATCATTGATAATAATCGAACCTAAGATCTTTCATTTATAAATAAAGAGAAATATTATTCACCGTAGTATTAAGTGGCAACGTAATTCTTAACAAATTTAAGTTTTTTAACCTAATTTTACTCTCCTCTATTGAACCAAAAAAATATAAAAAATAATAATAATAAATAAAATAAAATTACACTCGTTTCTTCTTCATTTTGGCGGTGCCGGGAAAATTGGCGCTTCCAAACGAGTGCAGTACAACGGAAATGGAAATTGATCACTGGAAATCAAGGGTAGCAGCAACCTACTTTATTCTCTAATTCACTGGGGAAAAAATACATAAATCCAAAGAAATGAAAAACCCAAATGAAAAAAATTAATTAGAAGCTTTCAACTGAGAGATTACCTGAAGAGCGGAAAGTTTCAGCAAGCGAAAATAGAGATGGAGCCCCCATCCCTCACTTGAATCGAATTCTCCCACCTCTCTCTCTGCCAGGAACAGGAATCCCAGAAAACCCTCGACGATATCGAACCACCAATTCTTCCTCCTTGTCTCCCTCCCATTTTTGTATGGTTTTGCAGCATCGAGAAGGCGGTGGAGGTGGACTACCACTGGCCGAGTTCGACGACATTCAAGTGTAAAAGAGAAGAATATGTACGTGTGCTTACAAAGTCGTTATACATATATATTTTGTATTATGCTTTTGATAAGTACAAACTAGATGGAATTTTTGTATTAAATGGATGGTAGTTACATAATTGTTTGTTTGTGGAAACATTTACTGAAGATATAATTCTTTTACCCGAAGGGGTTTGGTCTGGTGGATAAAAGCTGGCTAGGCCACAAGTTGGGCGGTTCCTTTGAGTAGGTTCCTCTTAGGGAGGTCAGGCCCGTCAGGGGTTCGATCACCCGCTTGTAAAAAATCCTCTTAGGGAGAGCTTTCCGTAAAAACAGCGATTCGGCTCGGAGTGGAAGCCATGGATTGCCCATACAAATGGACGAAAAATTGAGCGTTTGAAGTTGATTTTTAGAAGGAATTCTTCCAGACAAGTTGTTGTAAGACAAGTCCAAGTGGGACAAAGAGGTTAAAGATGACAAGTTTTGAGGAATCTGTCTGAAAGGTGGTTGTGTGAAAGACCAAGAGTTTCAAGCCAACGCAAGTTTCCTACCTTAGAGGGGATCTTTCCACTCAATTGATTCATGGACAAATTCAAAGTGTCCATTAGAATAAGGCTGCTTATTTCTTCAGGGATTTCCATGATTGCACTATTATTATATCTCTTTTTTTTTTTATTGAACCAACAAATTTCCATATTGATATTTCTATACCTAATTTATATAAATATATTATTACTGATTTATTTTAATTTATATTAAGTGATTCAACCTTTAATTGAATTGAAGCCTTTGTGATAAAATTTATAGTTGTTTAGTATGTGGTTAACTTGGTGATAGTATCGATGTTGTACTTATTAACAATGGGTTGCTGGATCTTTTTTTTTTTTTAAATTTTAATATGGTATTAGAACAGGACCTTGACACTATTTTATGACAATTGATCCAATTATGAATGAAGACGGTGACCCCAACTTAATCGCACAAAACAACGTGTTAGATTTTATATAAAAGACCTAAATGCAACTAGTAATGGAACAATTTTTTTTCCTTCTAATATGGAATATGTTTTAACTCGCCTCCTTACGTGTGACTCAATTTTAATAGGCTATAAGTGAAGACAACTCCATATCGATAACCCACTAACTTTTGTTTCGGCCAATTTTGATTTGGATGTCCCAACTCGAGACTTCATTACTTTCCATTTGTGGTCTAAATCAAATTTAATTGGGCCTAGAGGACTAGTAGCTATGGTGCCATGTAGAACTTTTTGAGATGGTCCATCTACCCACTAGTAATTAATCAACATCATATTATCCGCAACTTAATTACTTATTCAAACCCATAGGTGTGGGTTTGAATACAAATTTAAACAAAAGACTTAGACGCAATTAGTAGTTAAAATATTGTATAAAAGGAGTTTAATTTTATTAAGTTTAAGATGTCATGTTTCAACATGCCACCTCACGTATGACCCATTTTCAATGAGTCACATGTGAAGGTAACTCCACATTGGGGACAATTTTTATTTAGATTTTGAGGATTTTAGTTGGGTGTCCCAACTCGGGGCTTCAGGGTTTGCAATTCGTGGTCCCAATTTCAGTTCAATCATTCCCATAGGATTAGTATGCTCTAGTACTATGTAAAATATAGAGACAGCTCATTGGTCCACTACAAATCAATACCAATATTGTTCCCAACTCAATTACATGTGTAAACTAATAAGTTTAGAGTTTTTTTTACAAAAGATCTAGATTCAATCAGTAGTCGAACTGCAGGTGGCCCTTGCATAACGGTATGTGTGTGTTCCTTCCATACTGCATATGATGACATTCATCTTAGTTTCCGACCAAAATTTATGACTAAATGATTAATTCTATTCAACTTTTGGATGCATTCCATACAATAAATCCATCCTAACCCAAATCTCTTGTGCTAATTATGCTCTTTTTATTCTATCATAAATAATATTGCTTAATAAGAAACATCGTGGAGGCTTCCTTCCCACACTGGACAAGAATATTATGGACGTATTTGTTAGGATATATTCAGTGCATCATCTTAAAATTACTTAACACGTATCTTCCAGATCCTTAAATTCCTTGTGTTGTAAAACGTAATGAGTTGGTTCAAAACTCACACACATACCCTCTTCACTCTTGGACAACAAATTAATATATATTTTCCTATGAGAAATGCTAATAGGACGTTCTCAAAAGTGTGACTCTTCATAGACTTTCTGTCATCTCTTGTTCTTAATACATAATTGTATAATGTTGACACAAGAATTAACGTTAAATTGTAAAATGACAAAGAATTTATAAAGAATCACTTTAAAAAGGTTAACATTTCTCTTACTATATATATATACTAGAAATTTGAACCCGCGAGTTGATGCGGGATTAAAAATTGTATGAAAGATTATGCAATTTCATTTTTTCATAAGCAATATTTGAGTCAAGAACTAAGAATTACAAACGCCAAAGCAAGCAGAATGGAAGCAAGTTGCTGACCCTAGTTTTTTTGTGAACACTAATAAAATTCAATCAACATCTACCAAACAAATGCATACGTAGAAACTAAAATACTAAACCTTCTCATTTTCTGTTCGAAAAGCCCTGCAGGCGTCAGAATTTCGCTCCTGATGGACTCCAATTCTCTTGTTTTCAGTTCAAGAGTCGTTCCTGCAACAACATCAAACAATGTGATTCTGGATATAATGGTATATTTGAACAGTAATGTAGTTTTGAATTAAATTGTATGCAGAGTTTCTCAACAAATTTATAGTTAATTTAAAAAAAATAGCAATCTGCAAGTAATTTAGAAACTCGTTCCAACCCAAAAAGTAGTTCAAATCTTTGAAATTGCAATTTCACAAGTCACTAAACCCAACTTACAGATTATGTCCTTTTCATTTATTTCCTCCAATTCAAACATATCATAAAGATCAATTTCAGTTCTTAATTAGCATCAACAACATGATATCAAGATTCCCGGTAAATAGCACAAACTACCCAAAGGCATTACTCTAATGATCAAACAATATTGAGATCCACAATCAAGTAGCCAAAGGAAAACAATTATCAGATGTTCAGATAAGAAAAACTATGAAATACTGAGATTAAAAGGTTACCCACACTTAATCGAGTGAATGTTGAGCTAAGCTGATAGTAAATTCAAACTGAGCAACCACTCAAATTTCGACAGTAAGCATAATATACAGATTCAAAATCACCCGACTCCTGCAAAAAGAACATATAATACTTATTACACATCGAAAGTTGAAAAACAATACAATTTCTTTTGAGATTTTTCAGTGAAAGTACCTCATCAGACGCCTTTTGGAAATAAACTCTTGCCTCATTCTGGTCCAGGGTACATAATCCACAAGCAGTTTGAGCATTTCCAAAACACCACAGAGCATCATCTTTCCTAGGATTAATCAACAATGCTTACTCCAGCTTCGAAATAGCATCTGGGCAAACAAACACAAACCTGCATTTATAAATTCAAACTCTCAAATAACTAAATGAAAAAAGTTCCAAATTCAAAATTTTCAAGGCTACCAGATAACATTTGGAGAATTCCAAAGTCTATAAATAGATATTAAACATGAAAGACCACCTCCAAGAACTAATTAGGCTTGGAAAAAAAATGGATCCAAGTAGATAACAGATTAAAATCGAGCGCGAAATCCGTCAACAAAATTGGAGTCTCATTGGAAAATGGATGGAAGCTGATTCCACTATTTCTCTTCACTGTCATAAACAATGATACGAATTACCTACTGATGGACAGAACTTGAAAATAACAGCCCTCATTTTACTATCTGTCACATATATTTTTTAGAAAATGGGCATTGCTTATCAAATTTTCAGTCTGGAGAACTTGTCAGGTTTAATGAATCAACTTCGTTATTAAAGAACTTGCACTATAAGATTCGTAGAGAAATGCTTTCTTACAACGATAGCTAAGATGATTTGGGAGTCATCTACTATTCTTATCGACATTTTAGCTATCATTCCCCTTCCACATGCAAGAACAGCTCTTCTTAGAGTAAATTTTACAGTTGCAATTTCTTTATTTTCTTAGATGATAATAGGGTTCTATTAATATTGTCCATTTGTGTTTGAATTTCAAAGTTGATATACAAAGACAGCACTAAAACACAATAATTTAGAACATAAAAGAAAATGTAACTAAAAAAAGTAACCGATGAAAAAATGGAGAAATATGCACGAACCTTGGAAGTAAGAAAGCAGATGTTGCTTTCTAGTTGTTGACAGAATTATACGGAGGACCGTTTGAATTTGGGATTCGCTGCAGAGGGAACAAATTAGAAGGTTATAAATTATAGGTATAATTTAATTTTTACATTTGATGCGTCGTCGGATTAAAGGAATACAATAGGATTATGTTTTAGGTGCAATTGTTGGATTAAATGAATTAAGCACTGGTCATTTCTAATTGACTATGATAAAGAAATCTTGTGAACCATTTGAGTTTTGAGCAAATATGATAAAGAGATCATGTTTAATATATATTAGTAATTAAGAAAATTTAGAGCAATGAATGAGTATACATTCACTGTTTTGCAGCAAGGCAATATGGTTTGAGATGCTTGGGGAATCTGATATATTTTTTGTTGGAGCCTTTGTAGTAAAAGTTGTGTCTCATATTTCCTTTGCTGCAACATCACTTGTATAAATATAAAATAGAGAAAAATGAAAAGTGTCAGTAAACACCGAGTAGTGTGGTACTTCGAAGTGTTATTAAACATTGAGTAGTGTGGAACTTCGAACCATGGAAAACATATGAATTTGATGCAAATGTTTGTGAGATGAATGAACTTGAGATGAAGATAGACATATTAGATTGTGGGACCTTTTACGGAATTGCTTGGGGTTGCTTTGGTTTTCAGAGAAATCATCGGGGCATTGTCGGAAACCGAGTCAGAAGCTGATAACCTTTTCTATGGAGCCTTTGCAGTGGGAGTTGTGGCATCACACAGATAGATGTAAAACGGAGGACAAATACAGGCATTAGTGAGCATTGACTAATGTGGAGATCAAAATTAAACGCATTAGATACATGCATAATACATTGTTAGAGGAGAATGTTTCAATGATTCAACTTGAGGAAAAATAATGCAATTTCAGCTACAATGATTTCACTTACAAATTTTCGAAATCGTTAGGCACTCCCTTCAGAGGACCAGACGATGGATATTGATGTTTCTAATCACGGAAAAAAGAAAGAACATAAACAAACATCGCAAACCCGTCAACCAATATGATAGGTCAATTACACAATACAGAAGAAACTGAATAGAGATTCAATTGTTCAAAGTCCAAATTCTAGAAAATAAATCCTAATTAACAACCAACTAATAATGGGTAATCATTGAAATTAAAAGAACAGCATAAGGAAGGGAGAGAGAGTAATGCAATATTAAATAATTGTATTAGATATAACTCTACTGTCCAAACATTTATCACTACAATTTACAACAAATCAACCCCCAATATAGCTCACCAGAAAAAAAAAGAGCGTCAGCAGCACCTGATGAATCCACCGGAAAGCATGGTGGAAGAGAGAGAAGAATTGATGATTTCACCATCTGGCAACAACCCATTTCATAAAAAAAAATTACTTTCACAAACCCGCTTTGTAGCAAAAATAAAGAAAAAACAAACACTTACTATGTCGTATGACTTTAATTCCAATTTCCCCTTCAAGCTCCCTAGCTTTTGAACCATCATGCTCATATTCATAAAGCCCTAACCATGAAACCAAAATTACTACCTTGACAAATAAACATAACCAACAACAAAAACAACTAAAAGTTTCAAATGGGCACTGCCAAAAATTACCAGCCGAGCTACCGAAGACAGCGATATCAGGTCCGAAAACTAATTTCCACTATTCCAACAAAGATCCAACAGGGCCCCAAAGCGTCAAGGAATAAAGTGCAATGATAGTATTATCCTTGTCGAACACCCTTTCCATGTAATTCAGGCCAATCAATGTACATCTATTGCCTTTGATTTTATCCTTTTGAATTTGAAAAGGAGTATGTAGTAAACTGAATTCTTTTAAGAATTGTATCCTTTTCAATAATTTCAACATAAATCCCCAAAATCACAAAAATGAAATGTCAACAGAAAACCCATTTAGAAAGGAAAATTTACACTTGTACACACATAATATTTAAACCACAAAAATGCCCACCCCAAATCAGCTGAAGATCTCAGCGGTAAACGCTACCTTTTCGGGTCCAAAGCTCTAAATTGTGTACCTTGGGTAGAGAGAGCTTCAGAAAACAACGTCGTCGGAGAACCAGCCTTTGATGCGGCTGCGGCACATGTGCTGGTGGTTCAATTTCGCCTGATTCACCATACAAAATATTGCTATATTTTAACATCTCACGTACAACATGAAAATCATACACAATATTTTGTATGATTAACTATAATCAATTGCTATTTCTTAATTTTGAATCCAGTAACTCTACAACTTCAATTAAAACTAAACTCTGAGATCCAAATATCATCAAAATTCATCAAAACCAAAATTTTAAGCAAATTAAACAAAAACCCAAATCCTTATTCAGCAAAATCCCCTACAAAATTTCCAAAAATCGAAAACTTCAAGAAGATTAAAGCAAAACTCACTAACGTTTGTAGCTACATTCCTGAGAAGCACAACTATAGTATGCCTGGTGGAGTCATCAGCTTTCACCAGCAACAGTCGCAAGTTCATCGTCGGCAGTAGCTTCTCCCACCGCATCGTCCCGACAGAAAAATCGCACTTGCTGCCGTTCTTCTCCGGAGAAAACAGAGAGCTACAGTGTTTTAATGAAGCTGGAGAGTGGAAAATCTCTCAATATCTTCTTCTCATCCTGATATTAGTCTTTGGATCGAGAGACTTTCAATATCACCGTCATACGAGGCAGTGACAAGGTACAGGTGGTGTGTTCTTCTTGTACAAATATATAAAGGGTGTGGTATCTACATATCTCTTTTTATTTCTCACATACCTTTTTGATTTTCGACCGTCGAATCGGATGAATTAAAGAATATCAACATATAGAAATTAACAAGAGGTGTATGAGAAGTAAAAATGAGTGTATGGATAGCACACCCCTATATAAATAGTAAGATATGAATATTAAAAAGTTAATAACTTAAAAATTAAAATATTTTACTACTTATATAAAAACATGTGGTGATGTATCATCTATATTACCGTCACAACTAAACAAATTTCCCTTGAATCTCATCGGCGATCCAATTCCCACCAGCAAGTTTTACGCTTTACCGTTCAAACAACTTGTAACCCAACGGGCTCCATCCACCTCAATACTTAATTTTGTTTACACTTGTACACACATAATATTCAAGTGTAAAAGAGAAGAATATATACATGTGCTTACCTGGTTTATGAACAAAGTGTTATTTTGTTAAATTGCAACATTAAATAGATAGCCGTTACATATATATTTTGTACTATGTCTATGGGATTGATAAGTACAAACTAGAAATAATTCTTGTATTAAATGGATAGTCATGACATAATTCTTTTATTTAATACATAAATTGCAAGTACCAAAGCACACAGTAGAAGGGGAAAAACATCACATTATATATTAGTACAATCAAAATTCAAGATAAAAACCTTTTTAAACGAGCCACTTTCAAAGCAATTGCTAGTGCTACTTTATCTTTGATGTCATCGAAGAATTGGAAATAGGCATACCTCCACGATGTCTTTAAGATCAATGTGCCGCAGACGCCCCAAAAACCTATGATAAAGCCAAGTACCACGCTGACATAAAACCACAACTTATCATTTCCTTCTTCATTCTTGTCCTTTGCATCCTTCGCAGTAGAAGTGTCATCTTCAGGGCACTTTGTTGAGAGAGGAACACCACATAGAAATTGATTGCCCATATAAATGGACGAAATATTGAGCGTTTGAAGTTGGTTTCCAGAAGGAATTCTTCCGGACAAGTTGTTATAAGACAAGTCCAAGTGGGCCAAAAACGTTAAAGATGACAAGCTTTGCGGAATCTGTCCCGAGAGATGGTTGTGTGAGAGATCAAGAGTTTCGAGCTGACGCAAGTTTCCGACCTTGGAGGGGATCTTTCCAGTCAATTGATTCATGGACAAATTCAAGGTGCCTAATTGAATGAGGTTGCTTATTTCTTTAGGAATTTCACCATGTAAATTATTTGATGAAAGATCAATGCTCTTTACAAGATATAGAGTCTTGTTGTACACAAGTTCTTCTCCTTTTAGTGTCAGTTTGGCATGCTCAAATATTTTACGAGAACCCCCAAAGCTTATAACATTAAACGTTTCAAAATCATATCCATAACCATATCCATAATCATATCCATAATAATCATCATTGACGAGAGAAGTTAAGTTATCCAAACACATTGGAATAGTACCTGAAAGGCTATTGTTACTAAGGTCAAGGATGTGAAGGCCATGAAGATTGCACAGTTGTTGGGAAATATGGCCACTCAAATAGTTAGACCGTAATCGTAGCATAGACAACTTGGATACATTTGACCCTCCAATCCATAGAGGTATGTTCCCAGATAACTTGTTGTCTCCAAGATCAATACTCCTCAAATTTGAACACTTTTGCAAGGCATCAGGAATTTCACCGTCAAAATTGTTGTCGTTGAGCTTTAATATTTCCAGGGAACGTAGTCCCCCCAATGAAGTGGGAATCGTACCAGAGAGATTGTTTTGACCAACGTCTAGAAACTTCATATAGCTCTCCATTGTCCATGCATAAGGGAGTTCTCCAGAAAATTGATTGCTCCTTAGAGACATGATTTGCAAGTTCTGGATGTTAAAAATAGAGGGAGGAATGGTGCCATTCAAATGATTCTCATCAAGTAACAATTCACCCAAATATGGCATCTTTTGGTCAATATTTGAGTGGATTGGACCGGAAAAGAAATTGCTTTCTAGATAAAGGGAACGGACATTAGGGAAACACCAAAGTGGGAGTGGGCCCTCCAACTGATTATGACTCAAATCAATAAACCTTAAATTTGGAAATTTCAAATGGGATGGAAAGTTTCCACAAAATTGGTTGTAAGACAAGTCTAGTCGGATAAGTTGGGGAGATATCTTCAGCAACCATTCCTCTGGTACGGAATTCGAGATTCCATTACCACTAAGAATAACATAAGATAGTTTAGTTTGAGTTTGAAACCATACCCAAAAACTAGGTTTTATCCCACAATTTCTGATCACAATTTCATGGAGCTTGAAAGGAGGAACCCAATCATTAGCCATGTCGAAAATGAGGGACGTGGGTCGGTCTATGTTTCCTATTTCAAAATGTTGTAATCTGGTAAGATTTATGAAATGGGCTTCCGTTAGAATGCCTTCCCATGAATTACCATACAAACGTAGGGAAACTAGCTCGTAGAGTTGTCCAACACTTTCTGGAATTGAGCCATTCATATTATTATAAATGAGGTCTAGTGTTCTCAAGGACGACAAATTTCCGATGGAATCTGGAATTGAGCCCCACAAATTGTTTCCTCCAAGGTTGAGATTCTGCAAACTTTGAAACATTCCTAAAAAGGCCGGCAATTGGCCTTCAAGCTCGCAATTAGACAAATCTAGTGACTCTAATGTATTACTTGGACAATTTGAGAGACTCCTCCAAAACTCTTCAATCCCCCCATCAAAGTTGTTATCTGAAAGACTTAAAAGCTTTAGTTTGCAGAAATTTCCACTCACTTTAGGAATTTGACCTTTTAAGCGTGCTCCAGATAAATCAAGGTTTTCCAAAGATTTGAAGTTTGAAAATTCACTTGGAAAAGGATCGCTGAAATCATTCCAGGATAGATCAAGTGTTTTGAGGTTGGTAAGATTAAGAAACCAACTGGGAAATGAAGAACTTTTAATGCCATTATACGACATATCAAGGACCAAAAGTGATGTCAAGTTAATCCTCTGTAGTGAGAGTGGACGGAAGTTAATGCTCTGTAGTGAGAGTGGAATGCTTTCAATTTGGCACGAAGATAAATGTAACTTTAACAATGAAGGAAGCATGATAATATCATATGCCCAACTGACTCCTGTGCTGTTAAGGTTAACGTAATTGAGATTAATGTATTTCAGGGAAGAGAGGTGAGAAAGCCAATTCAAATTTCTGGAAGATAAGTAATTCGACCCGAGATCAAGAAAATTTAGGCTTGACAGGTTACCAAGAGAAGAGGGAATCTCTCCTCCAAATGACGCATAGGAGAGATTGAGATATTGCAAACTTTTAAGCTCCCCAAAGAACTTGGGAATTTGATTGCTATCAAACGAATTCTGGCTCAAGTCCAAGTAATTTAAATGTTTCAAGCTCAACAGAGAAGCATTTATCTTACCTCCCAAAGAAGCATTTATCCACCTTTCATCACCAAAATAGTCATATGGATTCCGGAGGTCCATCTTCACGACATGACCAGTGTTGTTGTTGCATGAAATGCCTTCCCATCGACAGCAATCATGACCCACCCAAGACGAAAGCCTACCAGAATGATGAACAAGATGTTGTTTAAAGACGAGAAGCGCTTGTCTTTCTTCGTCAATGCATGAATTTGTCTTCACACTGCTTGAAATTTCTTCACCAGCCAAACAGAAACAGAGTTTGGTCGTACTCTGCATGCAGGAAGAGACCAAAAGCAAAAGAAGCAAATAGCGAGCAATACTGCGGTGACAATGGCTATCCATTATTACACACAATTTTTCTTTGCTTTGCTGGTGAAATGTTTAGCTACTAAATTAGCGCGATACCGGAATTTATAGGAATAGTGATCGATGTGGGCCAGGGAGCTGAAAACGAAAGTCGTCTGAATCTGATAGAGAAAAGAAACAAAGGTTAACTGAAATGAGTGGTGGGAATTCACAACCCCTTTTACAAGTTTGCAAGCCCCTTGTCGACACATCATGCATTTAGTGTACAGCAACGGCATGTGCTCAGTCTGCTTGAACTATATATAAAATTGACACCCTCTTGCTAATACAAAAAGGAGAACGTTGTGGAATTTATCTTTTGTGGTGTGCTATCGACACTCTTTTTTTACTTCTCACACACCTTCTATTAATTTTTATCATTTGATCTTATTTAATTCATTCGATCTAATAGTTGCAAATTAAAAGGATGTGTGAGAAATAAAAAGAAGTGCGGATAGTGCATCCCCTTTTTTTTTTTTTTAATCAGCTTTTGAAAATTAAAGGCTAAAACAAAACTGAATACATGTAAGTAGGACATGGCCGTTATAGAAAATTGCAGCCATCTTGATGATTAAAGCGGTGACAAAAGCCTCTTCAAAAAAAAAAAAAAAAAGAGAGGTGGTGACAAACGTTGAAAATGTGATGTCAATGAGATTAAATTCCAATTGTGTAAGAACATGACACATGACAAAATTTGAAAGGAAGTATCACAGATGACGTGGTATTACAGACTCCACTATAATTTCTCCAATGCTTGACTAAGCCTACCCGTTGGGTTATTCGCATGAAGCTTCCGTTTGGGGTTTTATACCATATCTATGTACATGATGCACCAATATTTGAATAATTTTATACACTTATCCATAATAATTTAAAAGGATGAAACTTTTAGTTACCCATAAACCAGCTAACCCCTTGCAATTAGATTCCGTTCACCATTCCACCAAATTCAAGAACGAATTGGTCATTTTGTCATCAATTCTTACTTGTCAACGATAATCATCAATAAAACTATGACATGTGGCACAAAATAATACATTAAACATATAGCATAATAAGAAAACATAAAAATAAAAATAAAATAAAAAAACCAAACGTTTACATAACGAACCATTTCACATTGTTATTACAGACATTATTTTGTGTCCATATGTCATAATTTTATTGGTAGTTATAGTTGACAAGTTAAAATTAATGATGGAAAGACTAATCTGCCCTTAAATTTGATGAAATAGTGGATGAAATCTACCAACTATGGGTTAATTGGCTAATTTCAAATAATTTAGGGGTTATTAACCAAAAAAAAAGTTCAGGAAGTTAATCTCAGATGGAGTAATAGTTCAAAAGGTCAAATGATAGTTTACACATAAAATTGACACTCTCTTTCTTATACAAAGGAGAATGCTGTGAAATTCATCTCTTTTTTTATTTTTTATTTTTTATTTTTTTGTTTATGAACCAGCTTTCGAAATAAAAAGCAAAAGCAAAACTAGAGTGGTGTCTTGGCACTAATAGGGAATACAAGAGATCCTCTATGGATTTATCCGAATTTTAATGAAGCCGTGTAGGAGCAGATATTATGAATGCATGAATGAGATGGCTAGCTACCAGTGGAAGTCTTGGCACACCAATTAGTCTTTGGTGGAAAATCCATATGGCTAGCCGTGGAAATTCATAAATCATACTTGATGAAGGGAATTGGAAGGGACAAGAGAGAGGCAATTGGCAATGCAAGTGAGGATGATTTACAATTTGTGGTACTTTTTTTTTTTTTTTGTAAATACTCTGCAATATTCTAAATTAATTCATTTAAAACTTGTTCATTGATTCATATGCATTTACAAATTGCAAGAGAGATAGACAGAAACAGAAATCCTAATTCCTAAGTTTGTTCGCACCTTTTAGGATTCTTACCATTTGGCCCGACTGGAGTAAGGGACGTGATTTGTTCCATTTTTACTACTATTTGCGCCTATATCAGATTAAATCTAAAGAATGGAAAAAAATCTTTGCTCAATCAAAAGGAAGTGGCTCTTAAATCTCGAGTCTTTTGCTTGGTTTTGAGAGAGGCAGGGTTGCCTAAGTCACTTTAGTTCCCAAACAAAAAAACTTTTAACTTGTGCACCCCATTTACCACACCTCATTATTGGCATCACCACCATACCCTTACAATTGTTGTTGCCATCACCATCACCACCATCAGTCCCGTTGCCACCGCCACCCCAAAAAAAAAAAAAAAAAAGGGTAACTGAAATGAGTGGTGGATGTTCACAACCCCTTTCACAAGTTTGCAAGTCCTTTATCGACACAGCTGGTTGTGATAGGTTGTAGAAATCCATATGCAGCCGAGACTTTGAATTAAGGGTCTTCATGTTCCATCACAATTCACAACTTATCATCTTATTTACTGGTTTTTTTCTGGTGGTAAATTACGAAAACAGATTAAGGTACGTTCTTATATTTTGCAACCATTAGATACGTTTTTAAATTTTGCAACCATCGCATACACCACACATGCTGGTAAACTGGTAGTCACTACTTGGATTTTTACAAGTTTGCAAGCCGTGTAGGAGCAGATACTATGAATGCATGTAAGAACAGATTATAGATGTAGGCCGGAGAGTTGAAAACGAAAGTCGTCTAATGGAGAAAAGAAAATAAGGTAACTGAAATGAGTGGCTAGTGTTCACAACCCCTTCTACAAGTTTGCAAGTCCTTTGTCGACATAGCTAGTACCTGGTTGTGATGTGTTGTAGAAATCCATATGCAGCGGAGACTTTGAATTAAAGGTATTCATGTTCCATCACAATCCGCAACTTATCATCTTATTTACAGTTCTTTTCTTGTGGTAAATTACGAAAACGAATTTAGATATGTTCTATATTTTGTTCGAATTAAAACGAATATGACTGTTCAGTCGTTATTTACAAATTTTTCTAGACAATAGAATTGTTATTAACAATCTAAAGTAGTTATTGTTACACTGATCGCTTTCTTATTTGTTTTTCACTAATAGGAAACACGAGATTTTCTATGGACTTTTCCAAATTTTGATGATACCGGCATTTATAGGAACAAATTATCGATGTTGGCCGGAGAGCTGAAAACGAAAGTCATCTAATGGAGAAAAGAACAAAGGGTAACTGACATGAGTGGCAATTGTTCACAACCCCATTTACAAGTTTGCAGGTCCCTTGTCGACACAGCTAGTACCTGGTTGTGATGGGTTGTGGAAATCCATAGGCAGCGAAGACTTTGAATTAAGGGTCTTCATGTTCCATCACAATTCACAACTTATCAACTTACTTACGAAAACCGATTTGGATATGTTCTTATGTTTTACACCATACATGCTGGTAGACTGGTAGTCACTACTTGGATATTTACAAGTTTGCAAGCCGTGTACGAGCAGATATTATGAATGCATGAATGAGATGGCTAGCTACCCGTGGAAGTCTTTGCACACCGATTAGTCTTTGGTGGAAAATCGATATGTCTAGCCGTGGAAATTCATAAATCATAATTTATGAAAGGGATTGGAAGAGACAAGAGAGTGGCAATTGGCAATGCAAGTGAGGATGATTTAATATATGCAGTTTTTTTTTTTTTTTTTTTTTTTTTTTTTTTTGTAAATACTAGTGATATTCTAAACTAATTCAACTATTAATTTATTCATTGATTCACATGCATTTACGAAATTGCAGGAGGGATAGACAGAGACTAAAGTCCTAATCCCTAACTATGTTCGCACTTTTTAGGGTTCTTACAGTTTAGCCCAACTAAAGGAAGAGACGTGATTTGTTTCATTTTTCTCACTATTTGTGTCTATACCAAGAATCATTCCTTAAATCCTAAGAATGGCATAATATGTTTGCTCAATCAAAGGAAAGCAACACTTAAACCTTGGGTCTTTCGCTTGGTTTTGAGTTGGGTTGTGAGGAGTGGTGGTGAGCTGAAGAGATACAGAGAGAAGGGGTCGCCTATGTCACTTTAGTTCCCAAACAAAAACACTTTCTTTATATTTTGCTTATGTCCTTCTATGTAACTTCGCAATAAAATAAACTTGTCACTAAAACTTTCATTAAAAAGTGAGTGAAAAAGTTAAAAAATATGGTGGACATAATAGCACTCATTAATTTTTGGTTTTGTTTTTTGGTGTTAGGTGAAGCATGTATTTTGTGTGTAGCAACGGCTAACTTAGCGTGCTCAATCTGCTTGAACTATGATTAAAGTGGTGACAAAAGTTGAAAAAGTGATGTCAATTCCCTACCTCAGATGCTTCAACCTATGCTTGTATTTCGGAGTTATTTGCAAGAAGCTTCCTTTTGAGGTTTTATATTACATCTATGTACAGGATGTACCAATGTTTGAACGGTTAAAAATGTTTAAATCCAGTTATCCAATACATCGATAAAGTAAAGAAATTTCGGCAATTGCATTGGGTTTTAATCAGTGGCGAAGTCAGGATTTTTAAATAATGGGGTATAATATCAACTAAAAAGCTTCATTGAGCTATTTCATCGCGTACCTAGTAGGCATTTGCCAATTCCTGTCAACATATGCCGAATGTTTATGCCAACATATGTCGACAACTACTATTATTTGTAGCTTGTAAAGGGTGAGTGCATGATATTGTGGAATAATACTGAAGGCTTTTTAACTAAGATATTTCATAAAGCACATGGTGCGCACAATAGATCGCACAAGAAAATAGAAAATGAAGACAAATGTGAAAGAACAAGTAGAAGAAGGATGTTGTAATTTAGATTGCCTCAACTATTTTTAAGGGTCATTATACAATACGCAAACAAATTTACATTAGGTTTTTTAAGTTATTGGGGTTAAAGACAACCAATAACCCCATGCTCGCTCCGTCACTGGTTTTAATGATTGCACGAGATTCAGTGAAATGGTTTTCTTCTACCCCTAGCTTTTCCACTCAAAGTGCATTTTTATGAGCATTACCGCCACATGAATTATTGTCGATGAATGTGATCATATTTGTTTAGTACTTAAATCTCAAAACTTAAACTAATTCAATCGCAATTAATATAAGTGGTAAATGGTAATGGTCATGACCATTGAAGGATAGCGAGCAAAATGCACACTTCCATGCTACTAGTAACATAATAGAAAGCAAACCAAAGACTCTTTGTCAAGAAAAAGTGTTGAAGCAAACTAGAATATATCCAAATAGTATGTATAACATATACTATGTAAGCGTTGTCCGTATTGACTATGGTACGCATGAGAGGGAGAGAGAAGTGAAAAAGTTTTGCTAATTGTGAGATATATATTGCTTTTAAGTATTTTTTTATTTTTTTTGTCACTCAGTACAACGGTCTGGTTGTATTCATTTTCACTTGTTAGTGAGAAGTTTTAGGTTCGAATCTCGTAAATGACAAATTTGACAATAAATTATGTTGCCTTTTGTCTGGCTTAGCCGAACTCCTTCATCCTCTTAGTTTAAAATATATCGTTGTATTTAAAAAAACAATATTTTTCCTTTTTATACATGGTGATGTTCATTGGTATATCCGTCTACTAGTCTGACTAAAATTAGTTTCACTCGAGAATTGTGATTCCTTCTTACACAAGTAGCCATACTATTCCTAGGATTACTATGATCATGTAAACCCTAGTTTTGGACCCTGTTGGAGAATAATAAAAATGGGAAGTGTGAGAATATATTTAGGGTTCCTTGCTCTAATGGATTTAGGTTTGCATCTTTCAATTAGGATTTGCTTTATTTCCTGTTTTGAATTTACAATTTAGTCTTGTTTCTTGTTTTCCTTTAAATTCCAAATTCCCTATTTTACAACCACTTTTATTGGAAAATGAAATGAGTGGCGGTTGTTCACAACCACTTTTACAAGTTTGCAAGTCCTTTGTTGGCACAGCTGGTACCTGTTTGTAACGGGTTGTTGAAATCCATATACAGCGGGGACTTTGAATAAAGGGTCTTCATGTTCCATCACAATTCACAACTTATCATCTTATTTACAGTTCTTTTCTTGTGGTAAATTACGTAAATGGATATAGATATGTTCTTGTATTTTGCAAGTCCATCGCCTACATGGTAAATTACGTAAACATATTTAGATATGTTCTTGTATTTTGCAAGTCCATTGCCTACACCACACTGGTAGACTGGTAGTCACTACTTGGATATGACTGTTGTGTCATTATTTACAAACTTTCTAAACAGCGAAATTATTGTTAACAGTCTAAAATAATCATTATTACACTCGTTGCTTTCTTATTTGTTTTTCACTAATAAGGAATACACGAGATTTCCTGTGGACTTTTCCAAATTTTAATGAAGCCTTGTAGGAGCAGATATAGTGAATGCATGAATGACATGGCTAGCCGTGGAAATTCATATATCATACTTGATGAAAGGGATTGGAAGAGACAAGAGAGCGGCGATTGGCAATCCAAGTGACGATGACTTACCATTTGCGGTATCTTTTTTTTTTTTTTTTAATACTAGCAATATCCTAAAGTAATTCATCTATAAATTTGTTCATTGATTCACATCCATTTAGGAAATTGCAAGAGAGATAGACAGAGACAGAACCCTTAATCCCTAACTCTATTTGCATCTTTTAAGGTTCTTATCGTTTGGCCCAACTGGAGGAAGGGATGTGATTTGTTCCATTTTTCCACTATTTGCATCTATACCAAGAATCATTCCTTAGATTCTAAAAATGGCATAATGTGTTTACTCAATCAAAGGGAAGCAACACTTAAACCGTGGGTCTTTCGCTTGGTTTTCAGTTCGGTTGTGAGTTCACTGGTGCACCTGAAACATACAAAGAGACGCGGAGTCGCCTACGTCACTTCAGTTCCCAAACAAAAACACTTTCTTTATAATTTGCTTATCTATGTAATCTTGCAATAGAATAAACTTGTCGCTAATGCTTTCATTAAGTAGTGGGTGAAAAATTAGACAACATAGTGGACATAATAGCACTCGTTATTTTTTGGATTCTTTTTTGGTGTTAGGTGAAGCATGTATTTTGTGTATATCAATGGCTAACTTAGCGTGCTCAATCTGCTTGAAAAAGTGATGTCATTTCCCCTCCTCAGATGCTTCAACCCATGCTTGTATTTCGGGGAAGAGGTCAATGCTTGACTAAACCTAACCGTTGGGTTATTTGCAAGAAGCTTCCTTTCAGGTTTTATACATCATCCCTATACAGGATGCACCAATGTTTGAACGGCTAAAAATGTTTAAACCCGGTTACTTGATGTAATCCGATACATCGATACAGTATAGAATTTTCAACAATTGCATTGGGTTTTAAAGATTGCAAGAGATTTAGTGAAATGGTTGTCTTGTAACCCTAGCTTTTCCACTCAAAGTGCATTTTTATGAGCATTACTGCCACACGAATGGTTGTTGATGAATGTGATCAAATTTGTCTACTACTTAAATCTCAAAACCTAAACTAAACCAATCATAATTTATGTAGTGGTAATGCTCACGACCACTAAGGATAGCATGCAAAATGCACTCTTCCATGCAGCTAGTAACATAATAGAAAGCAAACCAAAGGCTCTTCATCAAGAAAAATTATTGAAACATACTAGAACACATCAACATGTTATATAATGAGTAGACGATCCAATTTATACTTTAGAATATAACATTAATAATCAATCCACGCACTATAATATGAGAGAATCAGTATATCATGTGTTTGTGTTCCGGTACACCGCAATATCCTTCAAAAGTTTGCCTTCAATCAGTGGCGAAGTCAGGAATTGTTGGGGGAAGGAGCGAAATCTAAAAGGGTAAAAAGATCCCAAAAAAATGTAGACAACCAAATCCTAAACATCAAGCTAATCATTCTAATGATGTGTTTACAAATCCGGGGTAATACTGCAATTAGTACATCTCAAACATAAACACAAACACAAAAAATGACAACCCCCCACCAAAAGAACAATACCGTGAAAAACTTCATAAGCAGAGAGACAACATTAAGACTAAATTCATTAGACTGAAAATGGTACATGGAGACTGAAAGAATAGAGGGAATGCATGTAAAATCAGAAGGTGAATTCTTATGAAATGCAAAAATGCAAACCCAGCAACTATTGACATGCCCTTGGAGCACTTGGGAAGCTGGAAATTTCATCAATCTCATAAGCGGATCAGTTGTCAGCTCCACATACAACCCATTTTCTATGAACACAAACTCCCTCTCAACTTTATTTCTCTTCCCCTCATCCAATCTGTGCACATGCAAGCTCCTAATCAACTCACCATGGTTGATGGTGTTCTTGAAGACCGGGAGAGATCTCACCAAATGGAGGTTACAGTCACAAGAATCCATGAAAGAGAGAGAAGAAAATCATGGTGTTGTGGGGGTAGGAATAGAAAATGCAATTGTTTCGTATAGAGCGGAGTACTGAAGAAAAATTGAAAAAAATACACTCCATATGTCCCAAAATCACTCATAAAACTTTACATTATTACATAAATATCATGGCCTTTGCAATCCATAAAAAGTTAGAACAAAGAATAGGAATAAATTCAAAGAACCCCACATTACACTAGGAAGTAGTGTAGTACAGTGTTTGGATACATGGAAAAATGAGAAGAAAAATGCAAGGCCAGATGCTTTTAGTTACAAACCTGCTTAAATTTAAAGGGTATTTTCCTGCCTAAATCAGCCAAATGTTTTTACCAAACACTAATTAACGAAACAAACCAACTTAGAAATTACACCAAATGCAAATCACCACCCATATATGTAAACACCGAAAAAACTCACCTTAAATACATCATCACACAAACCTAATCAGATCATCAGTTACCCACATAGGCTGCTATTTCTTCACTTTAATGATTCTATGTTCTTGCTCAGCTCCTCCAGCTTCTTCATCCTCGTCTTCTCACTTTCGCTCACCAGCTGCATCAAATGTTACACAACAACAAAACAATCTCAAAACGTTGAATTATATAAACACTATGTAATTGCAACCCTACCTATGCCACATAAAAAGTTGTTTAACAAACTAACCTCCATTAGCTTTGTGATAAGCTGCACTTTTTCTCTGTTCTTTTCATTGAAAGCCTCAAGTGCATCTCTGTATTCCTTTTCCTGTGACAAGTTACAAACCCAAAATTCATCACAACCACGCACGAAGTGATCCATAATTGCATATGCATAGCATTAAACATTAACACCAAAATGTGGTAAAAATCCAAGTTGTGTAACCTTCTTCTGGCAGGTATGTCCTAGTGGCTTTAACTCTTTGTTAATCGCATCGATCCTCTTACGAACTTGTGAAACATCCTTCCTCATCGGATCTGAGAGCCCTTCAAGCTCCTGGAAGTTCCATAATTTACGACAAAAAGGAAATTAATCATCTACTAATTGCTAGCAACTGATTCAACGGCTATATTTCTGGTTCAACCAGCAGAAGATGATGCACATGGGACACAGATATTTTCAACAAGGCATCCTTGGACTTATATTCTTGTCGCAAACATAAACAAGTGACCAAATAAAACCTGACCATATGACAAATTTGAGGGTTTTGAGAAAGAAGAGAATCTGTTTTTTGCCATATCAAAAACTTTAAACTTTGTCGTTGAAATTTCTCAGCTAAATTCCATATTTTGATGTGTAGAGAACCCCAGATTTACTCTGTTAGCTGAGACAAACAAATAATTCTCTTGAAAAAAATTCTAGAAATTAGTAAAGAAAAATGGAATTACCTCCATCAAAGAGTTCATGGCCTTTGTAAATACATAAACCGAAAATTCAAAAACGAAAATCCAAAAAAAAAAAACAAAAAAAAAATGAAAAAATACCCAATTTATTTTCATTACATGTTCTGGAGATCTAGGTTTTTCCTCCAACTTTTGTCACCCAGAATTTTCAGAAAGTTAAATTCCCTTGAAAACCCACAATTTTCTTTTGCATAAAATCATTTTTAACCTTTTAATCTAGCCTAAAATACACAAAAAAAGCCCATAAAAATCATCGTTTAATTGGAAAAAGACTTTATTTTTTGGCACAAACCTCACGAATGGTGGCCAAACGCTTGGTCTCCTCTTCCACACGACCCAACTGAGCCTGAACCTTCTCTCTGACCTCCATCTTCTTCCTCTCGATCTCCTCCTCTTTGGCTCTGAAAGTGGAAAGCGCCGACCTTGACATCTCCTCGTCCTCCCTCGACATGTTGCTGCTGAAGCTGAGGCTTCCGGAGGAGTTCTGCAACATCAGCTGCTGCTGCTGCTGCTGCTGCGGCGGCTGAGCCGCCTCCTGAGACTGCTCCGTCTGCATCATCTTCTCTTCAACCTCCTCTACTTCGTCCCCACAGAAACAAAAACCAACCCTTTTCCTGAAATTCGCTATATTTTCTTATCTCTTTCTTTCCCTTTTGCTTTTGCGGATACAGTGCAACACTGTATAGAGTTCTTTCGCAAACCTATCGATACTTGCTGGTACGCTCGCTCTGTAGGACTCGAATTCACTCTCTGAAACCGATTAAACGCATGTGAAGAGAAAACTCTCGGAGGCTGAGGGGCTGAGAGGCTGGCGTTAAAGGGTTGCAAAACGTCAAAGCTAGCAGCTAATTGTGTTCTTTAATAAACCAACAAAAATTAATAATAAAAGATTAAAGGAAAAAAAAAAGGGAAAAAAGAAAATGGAGAATTAGAAAAAGAATTTGGGAAAAGCTTTTTGTTGAAATGACCCAACTGCCAACCACAACCTCTACCCGTTTGTGTAGGCCCCCCACCTGAAAAAATCCCTCTTGGAATTTCAAAATTCTTGGTTTTTTATTGAAACCCCGATTTGAAATATTTACCTTGCTCAGAATTTTTTGTAATTTTACAAGAAGTACAAATAGTCTAGAGCAGTGTTATCCACGTTTATTTTTACTTTTTACGTACTTTTTTTAATTTGTAATTGTCAAATCGAATGAATTGAAGAAGATTTATTGATAAAAACTAGTAAGACTGTGTGAAAAGTAAAAACACGTATAAAAATAGTACGGGTAGTCTAGTCTTTTACAGTAGGATATTTTCTTATGTTGTAGTTTTCTGCATCAATAAAGATTCCAAGTTGTGGATATTATTTACGTGGTGTGGAGATTCTCTTTAGAAGACAATTTATGAAATATATTGGACTAATTAGAAATTGTATATTTGAGAAATGTTTGCAAGTGGTGGAATGTCATAAATAAAACATTCATCTATTTGCATTCAACATAATGTGCTCCGAGTTTGACATGAAGACGTAAAATATATCATGTTCCAATTCTTTTTTTTGGTCAAAAAAATAAAAAGAAAATAAGCCGTGGGTTTCGATCCCACCCCAGCCTATATTATTTTTCATTAGTTGAAATGCTTTATAAGGTAGCCTTGTTATAGACACTCTTAACATGAAAGTGCGATGTTGTGTAGAGTCTTCTTAACATAAACATACATATAAAACTTGATGAGAATCTCGGTCGAAGTGAAACGAGGGCATGGAAGTTTATCTTAAAAAAAGTAGATGTTTGTACCTCAAGAGATTTTGACAAATTGGATTATCTTTAAGACAATGTATAACCAAGACTAATTAATCCACGATGGATACCCTTTGAAAGTGTATATGTGAAAAGAGAAATGAGCTTCCACTCTGATACTAATTGGAAATAGAAGTAGCAACTCAACTCCTTATAAAGCTTTGTAAAGTTTCTTAATTTCTCGATGTGAAATTCAAGCTTTCAGCAGTTACTATTATTACTTCTCAATTTTCTCATACTTATTCATATAAGGAAATGATTTATGCACATCATTTCTCTCCTTAACCTTTTTTTTTTTTTTTGTATTGCTTCTTCATTGTTTTATTCGACATAAAAATCAGAAATAAATCAAAGTGTGCATAAAAAAGAAAACAGTGTGTGAAATCATTTTCTATCTTATAAAATATAGTATCGATGAGAATTTTGGAAGGATGGTGATGAACATGGGTAGACAAAGTTGTTACTTTCCAATCGATGTTGCAATGTTTGGTGGACGGACAACTTTAACCTTTTAGGGTTAACTCATTCACATGGGCTACACGCAAAGCACATAATGCATTGGTAAAAAGAGAACATCATCATACGTGCATGCTTTTGTGTGTGTGTCAAAAATATATTTAGGTTGGTCATTCTATCGACCATCTTTATTCGGCAACTTTAATCTAACCATCCAACCTTCATACCACATATTAACGTCAATTGATAAAGCTTAATATGTCAAGCATTTGCTAATTTTAAAAGAATGACGGTAGTTGTACCATTTTTATTCATCCGACTGTCACATCCCGGCCCGGGGCGGATCACTTCCCGGGCCCGCTACACCACCGTAGCACGATATTGTTCATTTTGGGCTTACCATTCCCTCACGGTTTTGTTTTTGGGAACTCACGAGCAACTTCTCAGTGGGTCACCCATCCTGAGAGTGCTCTAGCCCTCTTCTCGCTTAACTTCGGAGTTCCTACGGAACCCGAAGCCAGTGACCTCCCAAAAGGTCTCGTGCTAGATAGGGATGGGAATATACATTTAAGGATCACTCCCCTGGGCGATGTGGGATGTTACAATCCACCCCCTTTAGGGACCCGACGTCCTCATCGGCACACCACTGTCAGGGTTAGGCTCTGATACCAATTGTCACATCCCGGCCCGGGGCGAATCACTTCCCGGGCCCGCTCCACCACCGTAGCACAATATTGTCCACTTTAGGCTCCGACCATGCCCTCACGGTTTTGTTTCTGGGAACTCACGAACAACTTCCCAATGGGTCACCCATTCTGGGAGTGCTCTGGCCTCCTTCTCGCTTAACTTCGGAGTTCCTACGAAACCCGAAGCCAGTGAGCTCCCAAAAGGCCTCGTGCTAGGTAGGGATGGGAATATACATTTAAGAATCACTCCCCTGGGTGATGTGGGATGTTACAATCAAGGAAGAAAATATCGGTAATATCAGAAATATCGGTAGTCCGAAAACACGAAAATATCGATGGAAATATCGGGATAATATCGATATCGATAAAAATTACATGGAAACCACGGAAATTGTAAGAAAAACTTGGAAATTTTTAATGAAACTTTGCAGGATGTTTATTTAGTCAATTATCTATTAGTTTATCACAAAAAATTGGAAGGAAATGCATTGCATGATGGATTTAACTGATTTAAGTTGATTATATAGCGAGCTGGCAAACATTGTGAGTATAGAAAATATGTAGTAATTAATGAAAGAAGTTTAAACACACCATAATCATTTATATATAATGAATTAGTACAATATTTTACACTTTATACATTGCATGGTAAGATACATGAGTGACTTAGTACCACATAGAGTTCCTATGAGGTTCAAAATTTTCATTATCTTCGTCATCTCTATGTGTAGAGTAAGTGTATTTTAGCATATTTTCACAAAAACATAAGTGATATGGTGGTCAAGGTGTTGAAGGAGTAAAATGGGAGGGGTTCGAATCCCCTTGGTGTTTTTTTAAATATAGAAATTTATCCTAGATAATAAATATTAGCTTGCAAGCCTTGCAGACATCTTAACAACCATATAAATATTACAGGCTAGGTGTGTGGTTGACAAAGGGAGGGGTTTGAATCCCCCTGGTGTTTTTTTTCTTCTTTCTTTCTTATTTTCTTTTCCTTTTCCTTTTCTTCTTTTGTTTTCTCCTTCCTTTCAACTAAATAATTCATAATTTAAATTTATATAACCTTTATATATATATATATATATATATAATATATCTCAAACTTTTAAAATTATAAAACACCCACGTAGTATGGGTGGATCTCAAACTTGGACAACTTTTTAAAATACAAAGAACCCACTACGTGGGTTTTCATAATTAAAACATGACCACAACTTTTTAAAATACAAAGAACCCAACCCACTACGTGGGTCTCTCCCCCACCTCGAGACCCCATTTCCTTCTCTCACTCTCTTCTCTGCACTGTCTCTCTCTCTCGAAAGTTCGAAACCCTCTTACCTCTCTCCCTCTCTTGCTGTGACCACACACACACACGCAGCAACACCATCTACTCGACTCGAGCAGATCGAGGACACCACCATCATCACATATCATCAGTCTTCTCTCTCCCGCCTCTGCGAGAATGGCGGAGCCCATAACTCTCCAGCGAGTCTTCTTTGATTTTCCGGTTAGGTAAGTCTCGGATCTCTCTCTCCGTGTTAGTGTGAAGCTCAAATTAGTTCGATCTGCTGCACTGCCCTTCGTTCACCACCGCAGAAAGAACAGACAGGGAGCTTGTACTGCTATAAGGGACTATGGCGAAGGTAGCGCATTCGTCGTCGCCATCGTCGTCGGTGGTCAGGTCAACTCCCGGTCCCTCACCTTCTTACCTCTTCGATTGATTCATGCATATGAATTGTGGTTGTGTTTTCAATCGCTCTGTAGCTTAGATCTTGATCTTAATCGTGTTTTTGCAAGGTTTTTGGGACGAAATCGGCTCGGGAATCGGCACACCCATTTCCGGCGTTCTTCTCCGAGTAGCCCAATTCCAAAATATCGCGATAATTTCGGAAATATCGCGATATTATCGATATTATCGCGATATTTTGACGAAAACTCTTTGGATACCTATTAAAATATCGGTCCGGCGAAAAACCAATAATATCGACGATATGCCGATATTATCGGCATTTTCTTCCATGGTTACAATCCACCCCCCTTAGGGGCCCGACGTCCTCGTCGGCACACCACGGCCAGGGTTAGGCTCTGATACCAATTGTCACATCCCGGCCCAGGGCGGATCACTTCCCGGGCCCGCTCCACCACCGTAGCACGATATTGTCCGCTTTAGGCTCCGACTACGCCCTCACGGTTTTGTTTCTGGGAACTCACGAGCAACTTCCCAGTGGGTCACCCATCCTGGGAGTGCTCTAGCCCCTTTCTCGCTTAACTTCGGAGTTCCCACGGAACCCGAAGCCAGTGAGCTCCCAAAAGGCCTCGTGCTAGGTAGGGATGGGAATATACATTTAAGGATCACTCCCCTGGGCGATGTGGGATGTTACAATCAACCCCCCTTAGGGGCCCGACGTCCTCGTTGGCACATCACGGCTAGGGTTAGGCTCTGATACCAATTGTCACATCCCGGTCTGGGACGGATCACTTCCCGGGCCCGCTACACCATCGTAACACAATATTGTCCGCTTTGGGCTTACCATTCCCTCACGGTTTTGTTTTTGGGAACTCACGAGCAACTTCCCAGTGGGTCACCCATCCTGGGAGTGCTCTGGCCTCCTTCTCGCTTAACTTCGGAGTTCCTATGAAACCCGAAGCCAGTGAGCTCCCAAAAGGCCTCATGCTAGGTAGGGATGGGAATATACATTTAAGGATCACTCCCCTGGACAATGTAGGATGTTACACCTACTGTCTTGGTCATGTATGCCATAATCATGAGAAATTTGGTCAATAATACCTTATATGCTAAACTAATCAAATTTACGAAAAAAGAGCGAACATTCTATACAACTGACACTGAGAAGCAAATCTCAACAATAAAGAGTGGATACATATATATAAGAATTTCAGAGGTGGTGAGAGGAGTGAATGGGGAATTT